ATATAAACATTTACGAAGGACGGAGAAAGGGGAAGAATTAAATCTCTTGGTGCGAAAATGGTATTAGAAAGTACGCAAAGTAGGCGATTAGTAGTGAAATTCTAATGTATTTGCAGGAAATCTGGCATTTTAAACGAAATATTGAACGTAATATTGATATATCTACGTGAATTACGTAATTTATGTGCTATTTAGCTGTATAAAAACTGCAAAAAGGCTCAAAATTAAAATAAAACTACTATGAGATTTATATAACTTCCAATTTAAAAACAATTTATGTTTTCATCAGTTAAATATGCGTCACATGCATACACAATTAAACATATTGCACAAAAGCTTATACTTCTATTTCACACCAAAGCTACACTTTTTTCAAGTAAATTTGCAAAGAAGCAACACGGTGCCACCAGGGATGCCGTTTGGATCTAAATAGATCCAATTGAATACATTTTTAGACGAATTTTTGCGGGATACTTATTTTTTCCGGTCAGTATAAATGTGGACACTTTTTTCAATATTTTTTTTTTTTTCAAAATTTTATATTTCCTATAAAGTTTTTTTCGTTCAAAAATCGATTTTCATTAAAGATGGTAGAAAGCATTACGTTTTATAAACGTATAAAGAATCGCTACTGAAAACTATGTTCACATTACCAACATAAAATACTTAGTTTCGTTTAAAATACCTCACGCGTTCATACACGCGATTCTGTATTTGTCTTGACAGCTTTGTAGCAACCCTGTGTTATTGTTTATTTAACCAAAAGAGATCGCGAATGTGAGTAATTGCGTATATTTTTATATTCTGAGTTGTTTGTGGTAATTTTTTAGATTTTAGATGAGTGATCAAAAGAGAAAGCTTCTGGAAATATTTTACAAACTACCACGCGCGATTATTAAAAACAAAAACGTCCAAACACAATGACATATCAGTTATGGGACAATACTTTTTTCGATTATTATCGATAAAATTAGAGCCGACACTGATTTGTTCGTGATTTGGTTCTTGGTTTAAGATAAACTACGTACTTTCAACTTAATTTACTGAGAGACTTTACAAGGCGAAATTACTTAGTTTGTACTTAATTTATGCGTAAATTAAGATTGACCTCTAAATTACGCTAATGGGAACATAGTTTAAGCGTGAAATTAAAGAATTTTATTTTTTGTGAACGAAGCAATGGACATATGAAGAGATCTCACCAAAATAGGTATACGCGCAATTGCTTTAATTAGCTTAAAAGGATGCTTTAAGCAAGATCTTAATAAACATATCGTCGTTTAAAGTACAAAACCGCGTATCAACAAAATGCAAAACCTCGTATCAAGATAATGCAAAACCTCGTATGTGACGTTGCATAAATTATTTTCTAGAGAGTAAAAACACTTATATTTCAAAATGGTTCTTTTTTTATAAAGCAATCGCACTTCTGGCTAGTATATTTCAGGACGAATGGATAAAGCGAAGCGCACATTGGCGCGATTCTGTCGTTGCGAATACGTTGCGAATTCGGCTGTTAACTTCGAATCCGCAAACGTGCGCACACTTGAGCGATTTTTTCGCGTCGATTTCCGATGTACAATTCACTCAATTTTCCCTTTATTTCGTGTATTTTCGCACTCGGCGTGCCCAAATCGTACAAAATACTATTATTACGAACGTTTTTATTAGTTTTTGTACATTACACGTTTTTTTTTCTTTGCCTTTATTGCTGTGACACCTTTCTTCTTCTTCTTTGACGCCTTCAAAACGCTGCAAGCCGCGTTTCGAACGCGTCAATAGAGAAGAACATTGAATGTTCGAAAAATTTGCAGCGACGGAATCGTGCAAGTGTGCGCTAGCGCATTAAAATGTATGGGTAGCATTGTTGTAATTTTTGGGCTTGCGGATTCGCAACGACAGAATCGCGCCAATGTGCGCTTCGCTTAAGGATTGAGCCAAGAGCTTGTGTGAGCAAATCCAATTTTTGGCAGCAAACGTCAGTTACGCGGTTATGCAGATTGACGACACGCGGTTTTGTACTTTAAACGACGATATATATAAAGTAAATTATACTCTTTCTGTAGTAATCTCTTTCATATCACATATTTTCATTTGTTAATTTAAAAAGAAAGAAGATTTCAATGTAGTTTAAAAAACTAAATTTGATTTATTTAAGGAAACTTTTATGATTTTACTGAAAAAATTTTGGTTATTTGCGCATATTGAGAGAGGTAACCAGATTCCTCTTTTAATGTGTGCAAATTTGGACGCCGTGTAATAAAATTAATCATTGCCTGTTTACTTTTACACATAAAATGTTTAAAATAAAGTAATGTTTATTATTAGTAGGAAATCTATTTGTAGTTTGAAAATTTTTGCAATTTTAAATATTCTATATATGTGTATTTATGTGCATATTTTAATGATCTCAAGTTCAAAATCAAATACTGAACATCCTATACGTATATTTATAGAGATTCTTGTTGAAATATAGATACTTTTCAGTAGTAGTTTTACATGCTCTTTTTAGAGTGTACTTGCTATTTATTATGTTTACTTTGCAAAATACTTATGCACAAAAAATGTACTTTATAAATTGAAATTACAAATGTTTGATTTTATGCACATGTATTCCAAGGCCTTAGGATGGGTTAAATTATGTATTTTTCATGAAAAAGTTTGGTTTTCTTACAAATTATGAGATGTATATGTAAAAAAACAAAATTGGATACATTTGGATACATTTTTGGCTCGGTCAGGGATACATTTTCTTGAGACGGCGCGGCAACACTGGGTGACACTGCTAAGGGAGCGGTGCGAGAGAGACAACTGTCAGTTTATCGAACCTTGTATTATTGAATCATGGCTAAAAACTATAAAGCCTGTAGTGGGATTCGCCATTCTATTTTAACGATTATGGAATCGTTAAGAAAACTTAACGACGATTTTAACGATTTGACAATTCGCTAAACATATTTTAACGATATTCGCTATCGCTTGATCAGCTGTTGTCGTTAACTACTCGATTACTCGTTAAGTAAACGACGAATATTTTGAAGTTGTTAGCGGCATCGACAAAAGAAAATTTGATATTTCATTTGAGTTAAAATAAAATAATATAGATCGCGAATTTACTTAAGTAATATATAAAAGAAAAACTTTTTGTTAAAAATGGCATTTGAGTATTTGGCATACGTTTTATCCCAAGATGAGGAGATAATAAGCTCTTCATCAGTGGATAGACGTTTGCTTCGAGAAGTGGACAACCCTTTCGACTTGGCTGCAACTGAGTTTCGTAACCTTTACCGATTAACCCCAGACTTGGTTGAAGATATTGTTTCCCACCTTGATAGCCAATTAAGGGGTCGAAGAATAACTGCGATAACGACAGAGAAACAGGTAAATAATGTAATTTTCAAGTATTTTTAAATTTTAAATGATTTTGTAAATTTTAAAGGTTCTAACTGCCTTGCGATTCTTCGCAACTGGCTGTTATCAACGTCCAGTCGGAGAGCAATGGGGGATATCCATGAGCCAGTCGTCCGTAAGTCGCTGTATACATCGCGTAACGGATGCAATAAACCGCACCATGTTTTTGGCAAAGGTTAGGTTTCCAATGACCCAAATAGAGCGGCAAGCTGCAAAAGAAATTTTCGCCTCAGCATCCGCACCATTTGTAGGAGGTACTATTGGGGCTATCGATTGCACTCATGTGTCAATCATGAGCCCAAAGCATCATGAAGAAGCGTATGTCAACCACCATGGATACCATTCTATCAATGTGCAAATGGTAAGAGTAAAATTTGCTCAAGGGTTAAACTACTGAGTATTAATTTTATTTTATACAAATATAGATATGTGATCCAAATCTAAAGATTTTGGCTGTCAATGCTAAATACCCAGGAGCGCGACACGATTCATTTATTTGGAGCTCCTCTGCAGTCCGGAGAGTTATGCAGCGAAGTTTTGAAAATGGAAACCATAACGTGTTTTTGATTGGTAACTTTTTAAATCCACTGAAACTTATTTATTAAAATCAATTTAATTGAAAATGTCCAATATATATTTGCAGGTGACTCAGGATATCCTTTGGAGCCGTGGTTGATGACTCCTCTACCAAACCAACCAGAAGGGAGTCCTAAATTCCGCTACAATGAGGCATTGTGCAAAGCTCGAAACCCAGTCGAGAGACTTTTTGGCGTTCTCAAAGGAACTTGGCGATGCTTATCTCAGCAAATGACTCTTTTGTATGATCCTGGATTTACTGGAAAAGTAGTAAATGCTTGCACAGTGTTGCATAACTTGCGATTGGGTGACCAAACATACGATCCCGAGACTGAGTTCCTAGAGCCAAGGACACATAGCAGTAATGTAAATCAAAACGCGCCGTCTTCAACAGCAAAACGCGTCCAAGACCGGCTAATTGCAAATTATTTTACAAGAATAAAACGTTGATTAATAAAAATTCAGAAGGAGTACAATAAAATTATTTTGGCATTTTATTAAACATTTTTATGTACATAAATAAAAACTCAGTCTTATTTTGTCTTTAATTTGAGTAAATTTTTTTTAAGTCTAGAATTATATATATAAATATTCATTAAATATAGGGTTCATCAAAAGACAGATCTCAGTATGTAATCACAGATCAGTTTCTATAATATGATATGGTGTGGCACGTTCAAGTTACAGGCGCATCACAAAATTAAAACAAAAATTCACAAAATTAAATTTCATTACTTATTGTATATAAGAAATATATGTGGTATATCTTACATGCAGTAAGTACAGTATACCTCTCTATCAACTAAATTTGTAAACATTGAATTCATTTGAAAATCAAAAGAACTTCAAATAACTCGCTTATTAAAAACAAATAAAGATCAATTCAAATATGTAAAAATTCATCTTCGAATATCTTTAAAAGTTATTCTAAATGTAAAAAGTTACCTTCATGATATGTCGAATTAAAACTTAACTCTAACATAAATACAAAAAAAAGGAACTTCATGCTCTATCAAATGAAAACTTAACTCTAACATAAATATAAAAACAAAAAAGAACTTCAACTTATATTTAAAACGCTTAAAACTAATATAAATATTAAAACAAAAAATACTTCAAAAACTACATATTTACACAATATTTACATGCGGTAGATAGCGTTTCTTAAATTATTAAAGGCATCCGCACATGCCTTTAAACCTTCCCCCATTGTGGTCATAGCTTCGGCCAACGATTTCGCTACCTGCACACTCGCCGTACTTGTTTCAGCTAACAACTGTTGAAAGGGCATACGAATGTAATACTATTTTTTAGTATATACAAAAAATTACCTTCAAAGCATCTGCTTGTCTACTTGCTATTTGTACATTCGCTGCACTCGACTCTGCAAAACCTGTTGAAAAAGAACCGAAAAAACTATGTCATGATATTTTACTTATGTAAAGTTACAAATAAGTAAATTACTTTTAAGGCATTTGCTTGGGTCTGAGCGATTTCCAAAAACGATTTTTGGGCCTCGGTACCACCGTCCACACGCCTTCTTTTGGCTCCTCTACGTGGCGTTTTTCCTGCAGGAGTTACAGGAGTCGATGTGCACATCTCAATGCTCACTTCGTGAGAAATAGATGGCATCTCGATGATTACACTTTCATCACCCTCTTCCATACGCAGTTGGAGTTCCTAATGATGAGAAGAATTGTTAACTGCTGTGCTATTCATAACTATTTATTTGCTTTTTACCTCTTCCACTGGCACACTTTCAGCAACAGTTTCATGGCCCTGCACATAGTCGCTACCGACAAGAGCAATCACACGCCTCTCAAGCTCAGTGGGTGGCTCTTCATTAATGGGATTGTTTCCCGTCATTGCCTGCTTTCGTTTCCTATCACGCACCTTAATGCTAGTACGGCTCTTCAAATCCCTCCATACCTATTTGCAAAACAAAATTTTAAACGTGGTATTAAATTACTAAACAACTTTTACATACTGTGCGCCATTGGTCGACGTTCTTCACCGAACCACCAAGGCTATTCAGCATTGACGCTAGTTCACTCCACTTCTTGTCGCAGTCCGATTTTCCATGAAGCTTCTGGAACCTTGATCCTGCCAATCCCGGCGTTTCCGTCAAAAAGTCCACCATGCGACTTAGTTGTTCTGCTGTGGTCCGGCTTCTCTTTTGAATATTGGGTACTGACGAAGCCATTCTATAATATGCGAAAATGGTTATGTCTAATAATACAAAATAAATAAACGTTTTATTTTACTTACTTTTTGTAAAAGTATATTAAAATATTCAGAAATCTATGTGTATACCACTTTGCAAGCAAAGAATTTATTTGTTTTTCGTCATTCTTCTTTGTGCTTTTCGCATTTTTTGACGTTTCGTTAAGCTGTGATGCCACCTTTCTTGTATTGAAATAAAAAGAAAATGTCAGCTGTTTAGTGTCGTTAAAAAAGAGTTACCGAATAACACAATCGTTACTGCAAACCACAAAAATCGTTATATTAGACCTCGACAAATCGTATCGTTAAAAGTTAGTGAATTGCACTACTGGTCTTCATTAGGACATATTTGACGACAAATGTTGTCAAAATAATGAAAACGGGTTATCATCCGGTGTCGTTTGCGTTTGTTGTCATATATCGCCACGCACGCTCATATAAAATGACATCCAAATGAAAACGGCCCTCGCCGCTGATGTGGCAGCATTTGACAACGAAAATGTATTTGCCAACATGTTCGCAATTTTGATTTCGTTTGCCATACGAACAGCTGATTCTAGCTACTAGCTACAATACGGACCGTTTAGCTACAAAAAAAACCAAAAATACAGATCGATAGAACTTTTCACGCTGACCATACCCAAATTATTTGGGGCAAGTAAAAAACAAAGAAAATATAACAGGTTAAACTTCAACTTTCCTATTTCATATATGTTAAATATCTCGGAAACGACTTGACCGATGAGAAAAGTATTGAATCCAATTCAAAGATAATTCTAATAGCTTTTTTACGACGTATTTACTATAACCATTTTTTAAAACAAATTTTTGGTAAACGATATTTAAGGAAAATATATATAGTACTAGCTTACCCGGCGAACTTCGTCCCGCCCAAAATTAATTTCTTTTATTGAAATATTTGGTCCAACGTTTTCGCCAGCAATTCACGTTCACGTTTGGTTTTGTGGTCGACAGAAGGCTATCCTCCATTACCGTCTTAAATAACCTGATGAAGAAGAAGTCCTCGCGGCTCGATAGTGAATCGTTCTTGAATCTGTATAGTCTAGTTGGTGGCAATTTCCAAACTGGTGAGTATCATTGATCCACATTCTGTTTAGTCAACGTAAAGCAAGCACCGCAGGGTCAAGGTGCAGGAATGGTATTTTCAGGGATTGAAGTCAGAAGTCCAAGCCTTAATTTAAGCCTAAGTGGAATTTTGATAATTGCGGTAGGTACTCAAACTTCCCAAAATCAGTTTTTCCTGTTCAAAAAATAACTATAAGTGACCATTAAGCAAAGGTGCAGGAATTTGCACGGATAGTAGCCGAGATTTTCTTTCTTTAATCTAAACCTAAGTGGGAGGTTCTACCACCCTCTGTTTCTTTGCTAAAGCTTCTCAAATATTGCAAAATCGCGATTCTTTGACACTGACCTTGTTTTTCTTAAAATCTGGAGCTGACGGAAACTTTATGCTTACGTCAAAAACAGCGTTAACATTAGCTGCTTCAAATTTGTTTCTATTTTTGTTGGCGTGTGTAATAACTATTGTTAAATAGCCAATACCCGCATGTTTGCGGCGCCTTCAAACACCTTTCGAACTGTAAAACAATGACTGAATTCTATTCTACGCATATCTATAATACGAGTATCGAATTACAAGCAAATCAGACCATAAATAAGAATTTTTGGAATAGATCGGTCCCTGGTCCAACTATCAGAAAAAGAGTATCCAATATTTTAACCCTGACAATAAGCTACCTACGTGCCAAGTTTCAAGCAAATAGCACCATAAATAAAATTTTTTCCAATAGATCGGTATCTGGACCACCTATCAGGAAAAGTATCCTATATTTTAACCCTGAAAATACGCTACGTACGTGCCAAATTTCAAGCAAATCGGACCATAAATAAGACTTTTTCGAATAGATCGGTCCCTGGCCCACTTAACGGGAAAAATGGATCCTATATGCTAATTTAGGCAAAAGGCTACCTACGTATCAAATGCATTTTTTAGCGTAGCTCGACCCCTGCCCCACGTATCGGAAAAATTAAAACTTTGTGCACTCCTTAACACCTTTCCAAAAAAGCAGCAACCATTCGAATCGGTTATGAAACACATTTAGGAGAAAATTGTTCCCAATTGATTCATGTTCACAATGAATTTCACAATTATCCGAAATTTTCCAAGCTTCACAACGAATTTGCCACCTTAACATTGTCCAAAATCATCAAATCATGCGATAAAATACAAAATTTCGTCGAAAAAAATTCAAATATTTCGCGGTCTTCTGGATTTTTCCGATTTTTCCAGAATTTTCTATTTTACCATTCGAAAGCCAGCCCGAAGTAAATGCGCAAAAAGTTCCATACAAAAAAAAAACAATTTTCGATTTTTCCAATTTCCCGACTTTCCCGGAAAGTTTTCCAAAAATTTTCTATCGTAAAAACCGTCTGGAAATTGCGAGCAACTAAAAGAAAAATTTTGCTAAATCGGCCCAACTGTTCTCAATTGATGAATTACTATACATTTTTCACACCATTTTTATATACATAGATATACGTATTTAATACATACATACATTCTTGCCACTGCTAATCACATGAATAAAAATCCTAAAAACGAAAATGTGACTGCAATATTTCTTGTTTAAAATGTTTTATGTTGGGCTTGCTACTCTTTCCATTGCACCACAACTAATTGGTCGGAACGATTAAGTTGGTGTACATCTTCATGTACATATTTCAAGCGAGCCCTACTATTTAAATAGGCGGCCGATAAATTCTGTGGTATGTTCCATGTGTTGCAATATCCACGGAAGCAGCAGTTATGAAGAAAATGATTTAAAAATATTAGAAAAATTCTCTACTTATATGTTTGGCTTTCATTTGTTTTATTTTTCCAACGTCAAAAGCTGGACTTTTTTGAAAAAGTTAGTACAACAAAAAATACGAAACACGTTTTCTGTCAGATAGCTAACATGGCGGATAAGAAGAAGAAGTGAAACTACCCGGAAAAAAAGAATCTTATAACCTAATCTAGGCAAAAAGCTAACTACGGACCAAATTTTAAGCAAATCGGACCATAACTACGATTTTTTTCGAATAGATCGGGCCCTGGTCCACTTCCCGGAAAAAATATCCTATATGCTAATCTGGGAAAAAACCTACCTACGCACCAAATTTTAAGCAAATCGGATGATAAATACGATTTTCTCGAATAGATCGGTCCCTGGTCCACTTCCCGGAAAAAAGCGTCCTATGTGCTAATCTAGGCAAAAAGTTACCTAGGTACCAAATTTTAAGCAAATCGGACCATATATACGATTTTTTCGAATAGATCAGTCCCTGGTCCACTTCCCGGAAATAAGGATCCTATATGCTAACATAGGCAAAAAGCTACGTACCTACCAAATTTTAAGCAAATCGGACCATAAATACGATTTTTTCGAATAGATCGGTCTCTGGTCCACCGGAGGGTTTTCGTAAAAACCTTCTCCTTGTAATTACGAACAACTGAAAAAAAATAGCCAAATCGGCCCAACCGTTCTCAATTGGTGAATTACTATACATTTTTCACACCATTTTTATATAGGTAGATTTCGATTTTTTCGACTATCGTTAAATTTTTCCCTATATCAAACCTTTCTATATAATATAAATTTCTGTAGCATTATTATGCAATTTTCTTCAAAAAAGGTAATTTAATGAAAAAACTAAATTTTTTGGTTTTTTTTTGTATTTCTGACTCAAAAATATATAAAATCAGAAAAATTATGTACATCAACTTAAAGATAAACTAATCATCTTTATTTTGACATCATTAGTTGTTTAATCGGTTATGTAGTTCATAAGCTATTGATGTTTCAAAATATCGAAAAATGTAACTTAACCTACTATATCTTCTTAATTTTTTACTTGCGCTAAATAATTTTGGTAAGGTTAAAATCAGCATGAAGAGTTCTATCCAATTACATTTTTGGTTTGTCTATAGCTAAACGGTCGGTATTTTACACTTTTTGTCAAAGTTAAGTAATGAAAACGGAATGTCAATCATCTGACACCGACAGTCTTTGACATGCACTGCGGTATCGACATTTGGTCAGTTTTTAAAATGTAATGAAAACGCATTTCACATCAAATGAACAGCTGTCAGATGAAGGCAGATTTTGATGTCAGTGATTTTGACCCAATAAAAACCAGCCTTAAGGCTCCGGCAGCTAAAAACCATGGTGGAATAATACCAGGTGAAGTCATAAGAGCGAGAAGGAAGATTTGACACTACCTTATTGGAAGTGTTCGCCCCTTAGATTTTTTGAAAGGGTAAAGGCCAGAAATATTATAAATAATTACCCTTTTTGACTACAAAAGGAGTAATAATTTGAAGTTTTTTATTTAATACATATACATACATAATATTAAAAATTACTTTTGAAATATCCCTATTTGAAAACTAAAAGAGCCATTTTAATTACTACTACTACTACTACTACTTACTAAAAATTACTTTTGAAATATCCCTATTTGAAAACTAAAAGAGCCATTTTAATTAACTGCTGTAGAGGCTAAACAATTTTGTGGATTACGCTTGTCTTTAATATTGAAAGACAAACACTAACAATACCAAAGAGCTTTAAGGCTTTACAGCCAATGTAACCCAGATTGAGAAGTGTCTATATCATTCTACAGGAAAGGTCCCCCTACGGTTTCAAAACATCATGTTCATGTCGCACAAACTGCTATGTTTAGGCAGACAAATATGTTAAAATGGGGAAATTAGTAAAAAGATTTTTCATAAATAATATTTCAAGGCCGCAGCGACAAATGCACACAAAAATCTTTCCCCTTATTCTAAATTCGTAGCTACGCTATGAAACACCCATATACTGCAACCCTTGCGGAAACATGTGCAGCACTGCCAGCTATCAGTTGTTTTTCGAAGTAATCTGAATGAAGGAAAACAAAGTGGGAAGGAATTAAAAAACACTCATTAAGTGCTTATTTATAGAAAAATTGTTGATTTTACATATTTTGAAGGAAACGAGGGATTCTATTGCTTTTGCAATTGTAGCAGCGGAGTAAGAGCGCGCTATGGGAATGATTTCACAAAGATATGCGGAGCTGTCGGGCATAGTGACCATAGGCGCATCTATGTCAGCTTATGGTTGAATTGTTGAAACACAAGTCAGAACTCCTCCTATGCCTGAAGAACTGGTTCTCAAACCCGTTAATGCAATAACAGCTTCTTCCAAGCCATTGAAAACATGCACTTTGTTAGGTCCACCACCTGTTGCGATTGCTTGTGCCTTCGGCCGAGCTTAGGGATTATAACCCTTACTAAG